CTGGGATTACAGGCACGTGCCACCATGCCCAGCTAATTTTTCTGTAGTTTTAGTAGAGACGGGGTTTCACCATGTAGACCAGGATGGTCTCCATCTCTTGACCTCGTGATCCACCCGCCTCGGCCTCCCAAAGTGCTGGGATTACAGGCTTGAGCCACTGCTCCCGGCCATATCTATTTCTTGAAGATACATTCCTAGGAGTGGAATGGAGAGTCATGGGGAAATCACACTTGAAAAGCTTTTCTTATGCACTTGATTTAAGGCTCAGAGGGTTCAGAACAAGAAGAGGGCATTTCAGGCAGAAGAAACCCCAGGGGCAAAAGCTCCAGGGTGGGAAACGGCATTGAGAGTTCTCTTAAGGCCATTTGAAAATAGCAGGAAGGGCCCTGCTGTTTGTCCAGCGACCCCAGGAGGCGGGGTGGGGTGGGGCCTCACTGTTCTGGGTCCCGCCCTCCATCCAGGGCTGCCCTCTCCTCCCTGAGCAGCCTCAACCAGGGAGTGGGGGAAGCACAGGCCAGGCTGACGCTGAGGCTGGAGCTGCTGGTCCTCCTGATACTGACAAGACCGGCCTCCAGCCTGTGCCCCTGCTCTGTGCCCCCAGGCCACTCTGCAAACCCACCTGGGTCTTCCTTCTAAAGCTCAGCCCATGTCACATCAGCTCCCCTGGGGCTTGGTCCCATAAGTCAATGGCTGGCTGCAATGCCTTTAGGAACTCCTGGGAGCCTTCAGTCTCCCCTGATGCACAGCCTGCACCGTGCTCTGCCTGCTTCCTGCCAACCTAGATTCTTCGAATGTCTCTGCTCCTTCCCATGGAACAGCCTTCCCCCACACCGAACTGGGTGGGAACCACAGGGCAGGGATTGCAGAGAGGGCTTTGAAGTCAGGACCCCCGAAGGCCAGGTCATGGTGAGCAGCTGGGGCTGGGGTTCAGTTTTCTAGGTGACGGGATGAGGGATGTCTGATCTCCAGGGAACCTTCAGGACAGGTCCTGATCTTCTGGGTCATACAGAACCCTGCTTCCTTTCACTTCCTGACTGCCCCAGCACCCAGTCCCTGCCTCCTTGCCTTGGTCTGTCCACCCCTGCTTCCAGGCCAGCTAGAGACAGGCTGGGGCCGACACACATGTGCCAGTGCACACACGCACAAATCTCCGGCTCACCCTGGGAGATGCATTTCCATCCTTATCAGTGATTTCCATGGCGGGCTCACTGGGCACCTCCCAGTCTGTCCCTCAGGAGGCCCCGGCCTTGGGCCTGGTTGCCCTGGGGGATGTGGCCTGCTTGAAAGAGGGGCTTCTCCTGCCTCCGGAGGGAATGTGGAGTGCAGGGCCTGAGGTGTAGCCTGAAGCTATCACCACCAACAGAACATTTTATCCGAAAACTAATTCAGATGTTGCATTCCACTCCCTAATGTGGCTGCTTAGTTTTGATATTAAAATATTGGTTTTGTTAATTACCATCGAGTAAGCTGATATTCCGGGTCATGTCACAAGCATCCTGAGGTCTCACGCATCCCCATCCAACCCTGGGCAGCAGGGGATCGGTGCCACAGTCCACTCCACCCAGCCACCCACCTCACCATATTCTCTGCACAAGGAGCCCCCTGGAGTCATGCAATCCAGAGGCCCTGGTGGGAAGGCCACCAGACTGGGGCTGGAAAACCTGGGTTCTGTCATACTTTGTCGTTAATGGCAATGCGACCTGGGGCTAGCAGCTCTCCTCTCTGGGCCTCTGTTTCCTTGTGTGGCACATGGAAGCCGTGGACAGTCTCCACACGGCTGGACAGTGCCTTCCAGGTCACATTGCAACTCCAGTGGCAGGAAATGCAGGCCAGGTGATCAGCCACAGGGAGCCGCTGGGAAGTGGATAATTGGTGGGGGAGCTTGAACTCCCCTCAAATCACAAACTGCAGGTGGGTGGTGCCCCACAGCACCTCCTGGGTCACCTCCCTGTCCCAGTGTCACAGGCACAGCCTCTGCATCCAGAAGGAGACAGAACCTTCAGGGAGTTCTGCTCCCGCTGGTGCCCATCTGCAAGTCTTCTCCAGGGTTGCCTTCTCCTGGGAGCTCCCAGCTCTGCATATGAAGCTATCCTGCAGTGGCTTCTCAAGGATGAGGAAGGGGCAGCCACACTACCCTCTGGCTCAGTGCAACCCCCAAGCCCCAATCCACTGCCTCAGCAGGGCCAGGGAGTCCAAGCCAAGCCTTCCTAGCCAATCAAGAATCTTCCCCTAGAAGCAGGTGTGACTACCTGCCCTCTTTCTCTGCTGTATGCAAATGGGGTTTCCCCCTACCTGCCCTCTTTCTCTGTTATATGCAAATGGAGTTCCAGCCCCCCATTGCTCTGAGGCTACTGTGGCCTCCCTCTGGCGCCACCCCACACACCCACTCACTGGAGGAGCCTGACAAGCTTAATCTCGATCTCACCAAACCTCAGTCTGTGAAGAAGGAACCTTGTCTGGCTTCCCCTTACAGCTCGGCAACTCTGTCTTGCCCCACCCTGCTGCAGAAGTGGCTGAAATCCTGATATTGGTTTGGTTTTGTTTAGCAAACAGGGAGTATACAAAGCAGCTCCCAATCCGTGTGTGTGTGTGCGTGCCTGCGTGCGTGTGTGCATTGGAGATGAGTCAGGAGCCCATTCCAGACCTGGGCCCAGAAGTGTGGCCCTGGGCAAGGCCCTTCCTTCTCTGGACTTCACTGTCCTGGAGCAGGTGGTCTCTAAGGCTTTGCTGCCTCTGGTGCCCTGGCCACCAGGGGCCCTCTTCTGATTTCAGGAGCTGGATTTCAAGACAGGACACCCACAAGGAGCCAGCTGAGGAGGCTAGACCACCCTCCCATGCAAATCCCAAACCCACCCGCACATCTGACAGGTTTGCTTAGAGGCATTCTGGCTAAAGGAAATGGGAAGAGCCTCTGGCAGGAAATGGATGTCAGGGTTCCGCCCAGCCAAATGCAGAGCCTGGGGGTGGGTGAGAATTCCAAGCCCCTGGCACACCAGAGGAGAGAACTGGAAGAAAAACTTCTGGGTCTCAGTGGGAGAGGCTCCCACTCCAAGAAGAGAGCCTCCACTCAGAATCAGTTTTCTGATCCCAACTCTGCCTTTGCCTGCTGTGTGACTTTGGGCAAGTAGGCCAACCTCTCCCTCTCTCTCTGGTTCCCAAATTAACCTTGGGGAAACACTGAATACCCAGATCCTCCCCTTGGGATGGACACATGTGTGTTACACATGATAGGCTCTAAGAAGCATTTGCAGTAAAGGATTTCACTGAACATGAACCCAGAGTTCCTCCCAGTGATCTGAGCGATGTGATCTCTACTCCATCTGAAGCAAATGAACCCTTGGAGGCTGGTGGTGTGTGCCTGGGGAGCACCAGAACGGGGCGGAAGCATGCCCAGCCAGCTCCGTGGGCCTCTCTGCAATCACGAACATGAGTCTGTGGACTTGTCATTCCCTTCCCTGACAATCACTGTGAACAGCTCCACTGTGGATGGGAATCGGGCCTTCGCATGGGATGACAGGTTGAGCCTTACAAGTTGACCTGTGCTCAAACACGCATTCAACGAGTCAGTTCATGAACCCAAGGCTAAATCACGCTTTCCGCAGAAACCATCTGACAACAGCAGCATTTCTTTGGAAAGAATCCTTCTTTCTCTAGGAAAGGATAAGCCCTAGTATTTATTTATTTATTTTTCTGGCTGACATTTCTGAGCCTCAGTTGCCCCCTCTGGAAAATGAGAGAATGGCATTCCATGGCAGAGGGTTGTGGATTAGAGACAATGTGTGGAAACCCTTGATTTAGCTCAGTACCTGCAAGTTCATTCAGAGGTGTCCATGGCTGTGGGCTGTGAGCAGGGGGGCAGCTAGAGCTCAGACAGAAGACCTCCCATTGAGGGGAAAGTTATCCACACGTAACTACCATTCCATGTTCAATGGTTCCTGAGCTGTAAGCAAGGAGACTGAGTTGCTCTGTATCAAAGGAGAAGGAAGACCTCTGGCTGGATGACCCAGAAAGGCTTCATGGAGGAGACGGCTGAGTAGGCCTTGCAGGATGGATAGGACTTCAGAAAGGGATGTTCACAACTCAGCAGCACTTACTACGTGCTGGGCTGGCCCTGCATGCCACTTTGTAAGAATGGTCTCAGCGAATTGGTGGAAGGGACTGCTGCGTTTGCCATTTTACAGAGGAGGAAGCTGAGCCCCAGAGAGGTTCAGGAACTCACCCGAAGTCACACAGCTAGTCAGGTGCAGCACCAGGCTTAATGAACTTCAGCACACCTGCGAAGTCCCTTTTGCCATATAAGGTCATGTTCACAGGTTCTGGGGTTAGGATGTGGATATCACCTTTGGGGCCTTTATTCAGCTGACCACGGTGATTATGTCAAGGACCTTGAGATGGGACAAAGTATACCTGAGCTCAATGTAATCAGAAGGGGCCTTCTAAGAGAGAGGCCAGAAGGTCAAAGGCAGAAGACAGAGACGCGATGACAGAAGCAGAGGTCCGAGTGACGTGCTTTGAAGGCAGAGGAAGGGGCCAAGAACAGAGGAATGCAGACAGCCTCGAGAAGGAGAAACAGACAGGAAAACAGACTCCCCTGGGAGCCTCCCATGGGAAGGAACGCAGTCCTGCAAACACCTTGATGTTAGCCCGTGAGACTCGTTTTGAGTTCCTGGCCTCTAGAATTGTAAGAGAATACACGTGTGTTGTTTTAAGCCGCCAAGTTCATGGTCATTTGTCACAGCAGCCACAGGAAACAGACACTACCCCAGCTGCACTAGCCTTGCCCACCCCTGTGGTCTTGTCGCACGGGCCCCTTAAGCTTGCTACCGGCTCCTCAGCGGGTCTGTGCACATGGGGGCTGGGTCCAGGTCTCCACGACGTGCCTATGAGCACCTCCATAGCCTTCTCTGCTCCTCAAGCCTCCTCCAGTCGCTGCGCAAAGCCTCGTGCAGTCACCCCGGACCTCGCAGGCACTTAATAAATGCTGGTCACATGGCAGCAAATCTGTCTTTAATTTTATTGACAACAATTGAGAGAACAGGCTTTTGACAGCAGTAACTGCCAGTTTCTCCAGCCTCATGGCCTGGCTGTAGAACTGGAATCCCCAGTGGCCAGCTGAGTGCTGGTCAGAAGTAGGGGACAGTCAGCACATCTGGCCGAAGCTGAGGGGGTGCCGGGCCTCTGAATGGGGCAGGAGGCAGCTCCGACTCTCTGCCTGTTGCAGCCAGAAAGAGGTCCGCTAAAACCCAGGGTGACCAGGTCCCAGCTCAGTGGGCAGCAGGCCTCCCCGTGGGTCCCAGCTCTGGCCTGCTCTCGGCATCTCTGTCTCCCTGCGGGTATTCGAGCTTTCTGTGCTGTGCTAGAGGAAGGCACCTGAACACACCTGGAAACAGCTTTTGCTCAGAAAGATCCAGGCAGGCTCCCACACTTGGCAGCAGGAGAAATGTTGATCCAGAGAGGGAAAGTGACTTGCCCAAGGTCACACAGCAATTTGGTGAGTCTCAAAACAAGCTGGAAGACTCCCGTCCAGTCCCATCTCCAGGAGACCGGAGATCTGGGCATGTGAGGTTGGCCTCCAGGTGACAGGACTGCAGGGCAGGCTGGCCAGGAGCCGGGAGCCGGTGCAACCTCACTTGAGATTGTGCTGGCTCTCACGGTGCCGCCGCAGGTCCACCTTGCGCTGGAAGCCCTTGGCACACAGCTCACAACTGAAGGGCTTGAAGCCCGTGTGCTTGCGGCTGTGGGTGATGAGGTTGGAGCTCTGGCTGAAGGCTTTCCCACACACCTGGCACTTGTGTGGCTTCTCACCTGCAGGGAGGGCAGCGTGGCACAGCAAGGGCGGGGTCAGGGCCTCCTCACCAGGCCTGCTGCTCCCTGGCCCCACCCCCAGGTTCATTTTCCAATACCTCTCTCTGTTTTCTCTCATGGCCAACTCACGTTCACTTTAGAAAATAATCAGAAAAGAGAGAGAAGCAAAGATACAACTCGGACCCTCCTCCCACCCCTACTGGATTATAGGGTGGTTAGGGGCAGTGGCCGAATCATCCTGCTTATCAACACATTCCCAAGCCTGGTACACCTGGCGCAAAAGAGGCACTCAGCTAATACCGAGGAGGGAATGGATAAGCAAATGGATTAACGACCGAGTGAACAAATGAATGAGTGGGTGAACAAATGAATGAGCAAATGAGTGAACAAATGAATGACCGAGTGAGTGAGTGAATGAGTGAATAAATGAATTAGCAATTCACCTGCTAGTCTCACTTCTGCCGTGAATCGCTGGCATTGAGATTTTGCTGTTTCCGCCTGTATTTTTTCCAGGCATTAAGCAGCTCAGGCAGCCAGCTCTCCAACAGCAGTGGCCCTCGACTTTGTAACTAGACCCCGGCCCCAACCTCACACCAGGGGCCTTGATGCATCTCTCAGCGAAAGGTGCGGGTGCTCGGCGCAGGGGACTCTGCCGGCCGCGTAGGGCTCACTCACCCGTGTGGATGTAGGTGTGCTTCTTCATGTCCGACTTCTGGTGGAAGCGCTTGCCGCAGAACTGGCAGGGGTAGGGCCGCGTGTCTGAGTGGATGAGCAGGTGCGTGGACAGCGTGGACGAGCGCTTGAAGGCCTTGCCGCACATGCGGCACTCGAAGCTGCGCTCCTGCCGGAGGAAACGAGGCCCCGGGGGGTCAGGCGCAGGTGCAGGACGGGACCCGGCCGGGATGCCCTGTGGAACAGGACAGTCCATTGGGAGCGCCCGAGGACAGGGCCTGGAGGGGCAGGACCAGGGACCCCTCATCTATGCCTCTCAGGAGGAACTGGGGCTTGGAGCCTCTTTGGCCTCCTGTGGGATTTTTCCTTGTAATTTTCACAGTATCCCGCTCAAAATAAACCTCAATAAGTGTTTGTTGATTGACTGAGGGACTGACTGATCTCAGAGGTTTTTTAGGGGTTCACATTTCATGACCATTAACCCAGAGTGAGTTCCTTGAGGCAGGGATGGTTGTGGTCTGCACAGAGGTTTAGTTAAGAGTCTGAAGTCTGTTAAGGGCAGGTGTTGGAGGCCCAGACTCAGGGAGGTGGGTTCTAGGGGACCTCCCCCAATTCGTGTCACTCATAAGGGCAGGGATAGGGACCCAGCCGCAGCCCCCAGGCTCCCTGGGGAAGCACAGAGAAGGGGGCTGGGAGTCCTGCGCTGGGCCAGGTGCCCACCTGGGAGTGAACATGCGTGTGCTGCTCCAAGCTCACGGCGTGGCCGAAGGTTTTGCCACAGATGTCGCAGGCGAAGGGTCGGGTCCCACTATGGGAGCGTCGCACATGCACTTCGAGCCCGTGAGGGGTGGAGAACACCTGGGAACAGGGGCAGTGTGTGAGGCTCCTGGAGGCTGCAGAGAGGGGGACAGGCCTGGGGTCCCTTGGTCTCTTCCCTGCCCAGCTCCGGCCAAGGCTGGTTGCACCAGGGAAGGGGCACTGGACTGCTGGCTCTGCTGCTTATTTGCTGTGTGTCCCCGGGAGGTCCTTTTCTCTCTCTGTGGCTCAGTCTCCCATCTGCAAAGTTGGATGTGAGAGAGGGAATCCGGAACCCCTCCTGGCCTCATCTAAAGGCTGAATAGCCTAGTCGTTAAGAGCTGGGAGTGCCAGAGCCAGGTTTGAGTGCTGGTTCTGATGTCTACTTGCTTCTGATTGTGGAAATGACCTAACCTCCCTGAACCTTAGTCCTTCACTGCCTCCTGGCACTCATGCCTGTCAATTGCTTCGCACAGGGCCAGGAACGTGGTCAGAGCTCCACGGTTGGTGATGAGGACGAACGTTTTGAATCCTTAAACCCACCAGAGTCCCAACATTCACAGCACAGGGAACGCCCAGAGCTGCCGCCAGTGCACTGGAGAGTGGGCCGTGTGCCCACCCACACCCCCGCTGCCCACCTTGTTGCACTTCACGCAGTGGTACACGTCCATGCCCGGGGAGTAGCGGAGGCTGAAGTCCAAGGGGGGCTCGGTGCTGGGCACCAGAGGGCTGCCGTACAGGCTGACGGAGTGCTCCAGGAAGGCTGACTGCATGGTGGAGGGGGCCTGCCGGTAGCTGTGGCCGTAGGTTGAAGCCAGCGTGTCCCAGGAGAAGCTGGGCTTGTAGAACGGGGGTGAGTCAGACAGTGGAGAGTCCCCGTCCTGGGGCCGGGACAGCACAATAGGGCCCTCTGTGGAGATAGGGACACGTGCCTGGTTACTCACTTAAACACAGAGGGCCGGGTGCAGGGGCTCACACCTGCAATTCCAGCACTTTGGGAGGCTGAGGCAGGTGGATCACTTGAGGTCAGGAGTTTGAGACCGGCCTGGCTAACATGGCGAAACCCTGTCTCTACCAAAAAAACAGCTGGGTGTGGTGGCGCACGCCTATAATCTCAGCTACTAGGGAGGCCGAGATGGGAGAATCGTCTAAATCCGGGAGGTGGAGGTTGCAGCGAACTAAGATCGCACCACTGCACTCCAGCCTGGGCAACAGAGAGACCTTGTCTCAAAAAATAAAATGAAATAAAATAAACACAGGGCGCCCACTCCACACCACCCCGCACCCCTTCATGACCTCATGTGACGGGTTTTAGGGTGCCAACCCAAATACTTACTGTTGGGGGTATCTATGTCCTCACTGTGGCTCCTCAGCTTTTCCAGCCCAGAATGACCCCCACCCTCACTCCAGAGTGCCCACCTCACCCCTGTATGGACCAGCCCAGCCGCTGCTTCTGACCTCTTCCCCCACCTAAGCTCACATCTGGGGATGAGCTCCCTGTCTGGAAGGTCCAGGCAGAAGCCGCAGAGCCTGGGCTTCATCCAGCAACTTCATGGGTTCTTCCTGACTCCAGGGCCCCAAGGGACCTGCTGCAAGGGTTCCTTCCTCCTTCTTCCCCTTGGCACTCCCTGGGGAATGACTGGGGGTCGCAGCTGGGTACCTGGTGCTGGGACCATCCTGGCCAAGTTCTGGTCCTGCTCCAGCTCCGGCTCTCGTTTGAGGCTGGTCCAGTCCAAGCACTGGCTTGGGAATAGGGTGCTGAGAACAGGGCTGCTGCTGGGGGCCTGGTCTCTGATTGCTGTGGGGAGATGGGACCATCGGCATCAGTAGTTGAAGCTTCTGGGAAGCCCAGAGGGGCAAGGAGGGCGCTCTCTTCCTAGAGGAGGAGGCCCAGAGAGAGACCTGCTTGCCACTGCCACCAGCCGCTCACACTCTGAGGCTCTGCCCAGGGCAGCGGGGCAGGAAGAACAAGAGACGCCGGAGAAGACTTTAGACCAGTCCGCTTTTCTGAGCAACCCAACTCCAGCCCTAGATTGGGCCTCCAGTGAGGCCCCACGTGTCAGCAACTGAGCACTAGCTCCAACCTAAGGCTTTCATCTCCCAGCAGGGCAGAAGGGATGAGGGCATCCTTCTTTCATCTGCTCCTTTCATCTGCAACCCGCATTTACTGCACTCCTGCTTCCAGACCTGGAAGAAGAGGCTGCTGCAGGAGGGGACGCCACTGAACTCCCATCACCCAGAGCAGAGAGCCCCCGTGGGTGCAACAGGGGCCAGCTGGGCGCTGACTCACCCGGAGTAAGGGCAGGAGGCCAGAGCGGTTCATCTTCCTGCGCACGGGGCTGGTGGTAGGTGTGAGCCTTCTTGCTCTTCACCAGGAAGGAGCGTGGCATTTTCAGTGCACACCTCACACCTGCAAGGGGGAGGGATGGGAGCAGTGAGGAAGGACAAGAGAACAATACCCCTCTGTATCTCAGAACCTCAACCAGGTATAGAGACCAAACACCAGCTATATCCGGTTGAATAGTGGCCCCCAAAGTTCATTCATGTCCTCCCAGAACCTGTGAATGTGACCTTATTAGAAATAGTGTCTTTTTGCAGAGGTAATCAAGCTACGATGAGGTCATTCTGGGTTAGGATGGGCCCTGAATTCAGTATGACCAGTGTCATTATATAATAAGAAGGACTTCCAGAGTCCAAGGCAGGTGGATCAGCTGAAGTCAGGAGTTCGAGACCAGCCTGGGCAACATGGTGAAACCTGCCTCTACTAAAAATACAAAAACTAGTCTGGCGTGGTGATGCACATCTACAATCCTAGCTATTTGGGAGGCTGAGGCAGGAGAATCGCTTGAACCCGGGAGGTGGAGGTTGTAGTCAGCCAACATCGCTCCACTGTACTCCAGCCTGGGCAACAAGAGTGAAACTCTGTATCAAAAAAGGAGAAGGAGAAGGAGGAGGAGGAGGAGGAAGAGGAGGAGGAGGAGGAAATTTGGACCCAGAGACACAGACACCCAGGGACAATGCCATGTGACAACAGATGCAGAGAGTGATGCTTCTATCAGCCGGAGAGTGCCAGGCAGGGCTCAGAGCCACCAGAACTGGGAGAGGCACATGAACAGACTCTCCCTTGGAGTCTTCAGAAACAACCCACTTTGCTGACACCTCAATTTTGGATTTCTAGACCCCAGAACCGTGAAAGAATACACGTGTGTTGTTTTGAAGCCACCTGTTTGTGTCGTTTTGTTATGGCAGCTACAAATCCTAACCTCCCTCACTGCTCCATCACCAGCGAGCGAACGCATCACCCCCTAGAAAACCCTCAGACCAGCCTGCTCCCATTGACATGCTCGGGGTTGCGCTGGAGCAGAAAAGGAAAGGCAGGGGCAGGGTCTCCCTCTCCTCTGTGATGCATGGTAGACCCCACTTCTAGAAAGTTACATATGGGTCCCAGTGAGATTCACCTTCAGAGGCCATAGAAACAGGTGGTCTGAGCTTAGGTTTTGGAATCAGAGTTCATGAGTTAGAATCTCAGCTCACTTGCTATGCAATTTGGGACAGACACTTAACCCCCTCTGGGCCTATTCCCTTTGCTGGAAGGGGACGTCCAGGCTTGTAGCACTGACGAGTACATCGCAGTTGCTCAGTGTCCATCACAGGGGGCCCTGGCAGGGAGGCTGCAGCGAGCAAGGGGACATTGCCAATCCGTGTGCTCCTGCCAGCTGTTAGCCAGTGCCACCAGAGCAGGGCTGCACCTTGTCCACAGCCCTGGCCCAGAGTCTGGTCCCTAGAGAGACAGGGGCCTTCTGTCTCTGGGGAGTGGGGTAGGGGGACTCAAGACCTGAGAGGACCCCCTACTCCACTGCACCTGGAAGCCTGAGGTTTCATGGACGCAGGAGAAGAGGCAAACATCCCCCAGCTTCCGTGGGCAGCCCAGCCCAGCATCACTACTCACCCGACCGATCAGGCAGTGGGGGTGAGGACCTCACTCACTCAAGGACCTCATCAGTCAAGGGACCACCCCAGGCAGGGCCGGGGAGTGGCAGGGCTGGACCATCCTGACCACCCCAGGACTCCTGGCTTCCCCTGCAGAGCCCATGGAGCTGACAGCCCCGCCTGGCCCCCAGAATGGTTCACATCCCGCACTCAGCCTGTGAGGCTCTCCTGGAGGCTCCTGAGAACATCTTCTGGTGGTCCTCCATCCTTTCTGCTCCCATGCTGTACCCTGGCCAATGCCAGGCCCATGCCTGAGGCCTCGGAGGAATCCCACCCCCAACCCCTTGGGCCAGCCGCCACGCAAGGCTGCAGGGCTGATAGGGCCCAGAGAAGGCGGGAAAGGGATTCCAGCTGCTTCGGAACAGCAGTGAGGCCCTGGGTGATAAGGCTTCAGCCAGGGAGCAGGGTGGGAGGTGGGAGATTAGAGAATGCAGCTTGGAAAAGGGCCAGGGACTCACCCCTTCCCCAGTGGGATGACCCAGAGCCAGGCAGAAGAGGGACCTGACTGTGCCCAGGCCTGCTTCCCCCTGCCCCAGAGCCTGGGGGCATCAAGAGTTTGAACTGTGGGGACTTCACATAAGGGGCCCAGGCTCAGGCCTAGCCCTTCCCAGCTATAAGGCTCATTGCTGAGCCTCAGTATTCATATCTGCTAAATGGGGATCCCATTCAAACCCATGGGATCTCAGGGAGCGAGAAAGGACCTTCATCCATCAGGAGCGAGTATGGGAGGTGCTCAGCGAATGCCCCCTGCTTCCCAGCACCCCGCCTGCTGCAGGTGCATTCAAAGGACAGGGTGAGCCCTGCGCCAGGGGCTGCAGCAGCCCCCCGGAAGCCAGGGCCACACTCAAAGTCCTGTACTCTCTAAGCTCTAAAATTAGGAAGAAGGACCCTGAAGGCCTCTGGGGTCCCTTCCCGCGGTCAGATTCTCAGTCTTCTGAACACAGGCTCGGGCTGGGGGCAGCCCACGGCCTTATCTCCCAGGGACACATCTTCCTCCTCCTGCCTCCTCGCCCTCCCTCACCAGGGCTCCCCGCACCCACCTTCCTGCCCGCTTCTAACTCTTCTTTGCTTCAGGAAAGCCCCTGGGGAGGCCAGACCCTGGGTGGAGAGGAGGGGACCCCGTGAGCAGGGGAAGGGCTGAGGGTTCGCACTTTGTTTTGAGGGGGCTGTGAGGGCCACCGTTTGCCCATCGACATATCAAAAGATGATCTTTTTTTACGCATAATATTTATGAGGAAATCAACTAGAACCAAAGGTACTCGCTGAGGTCTCTGTGATAAGAGGCACCGGCCAACGCCTTTGGCAGGGGGCTGCTTAGCCTGCCTTGCTTATTACCCCTTTAACCCTGACCATGGTTGTGACGCTGAGTCCTGCTGCTGTCCCATTTTATAAAGGAGGAGCTAAGGCCTGGAGGACTCAGGACCCCGGGGCAGAGTGAGCAGGACTGGGGTCTGTCTGTCTGGCCCCCAGGCCTCCATGCTCTTGACGTTCAGCCCAGGAGGTGGGCAGTTACTCGGTACAGCATGGGTATTAAGTGCTGGGCAGTGCCTGGCATGGCCGTCTCTACACAGAGGGAATGGAGCGGATGTGCTAAGGATGAAAACAACAGTCTGAAGCTCCCCGGTGTGCCTATGACAAGCAGTGTCTTCCCGGGTTGCAGGTGGGAAAACTGAGGTGTAGACAGGAAAGTGACTCAAGCCCAGGGCTCCTGGCCTGTTAGGATTTCACTCTCAAGCCACTGTACCACCCGGTACCGTCAGAGGTCCTCAGAGCACCTGGTGACCACGGCCTGCAGCACAGGGAGAAATGCAGGGTGCTGGGGCAAGAGGGGAGAAAAATCAAACCCTCTGATCCCCAAGTCTTTTCCAGGCTCCTAAAAGACCCACGTGGCTCCAGAAGAGTCTCGGTGGGGCCAGGCCAGGGACAGACTTCCCTTCAGGAAGCATTGGTCTTCCCTTCAGCTCAGGATCCATGGAGACCCCAGGTCAACTGACTCCAGCCCCAGACCCCATAACAAGGACACTTTCTAGTGCTCATGCGTCCTGGCCAAGCAATTTCCACTCAGGCACGGTGTAAGTGGGGGCTGGCTTCTGGGGTTCTCCAGCCACAGGAAAGTGATTCTCGTGCCTTTTCTAGTGACCTCCCCTGAGCCTCACAACCCCTTTCTTGCCTCACCCCCCGCATGCTCTCCCTGAACCTGGCAAGTGACAGTGACAGAGCCAACGCCACGGCCAAGCCCTCCGGCTCACAGCAGGGCTGAATGCACCCAGCGAACTTCCTTTTGGCCCCTGTTAGGAGAGTGTTGTTGTTTTTTTTTTTTTTTTTTTTAAAGAAAAAACAGGAACCAATCACCTATACTGTAGTTAATGAACAACCACTTGGTTTTGATTCACACAAACTCCGTTCTGAGAAAGAGCTAAGAGCAGAGATTATGAAAGAAACTCAGGATTTCTTCATAAAACAGATGCCTCGATGGTATCGGACCTCCGGAAGGAGGCCACGGTTAACACCACTTCATCACCCCAGTGTCCTGATAGAGTCCCCCTGACCGTGAGTCAGAATCTCAGCTAGTGCTTCTTAAAGAGAGGTGACCCCCCCCACACCCTGGGGAGCCCTCACCCCAACTTCCAGCTGGACTCGGGTCAACAGGCCTGTGAGGTCCCTGTAATGAGGCTCCTGGTGTCCCCCAAGGAGTTGAGTCTGATTTGGGGTCCTAGAACTTGTGACCACATCAGCCACCAACCTGGGGCTTGGTTTTCCTATCTCTCAACAGGGACGGTTGAGCTGAGAGATTTCTAAACTTCCCTTTTGCTCTAAAATCCCATGTAGAATTCGTTGACCTTCAGTGAGAGATTGAACCACCTTGACTAAAAGACTTGTCACTCGGGTTCCCCTTTTGGGAGGGTTGGGTAAGACTCAGCTGGTTCTCAGGGTCAGCTACAGAGGACCCTTTTGACTTCCTTTGTGTTTAAAGACTCAAGGGAGGCTGGGCACGGTGGCTCATTTCTGTAATCCCAGCACTCTGGGAGGCCGAGGAAGGCGGATCACCTGCAGCCAGGAGTTTGAGACCAGTCTGTCCAACATGGTGAAACCCTGCCTCTACTAAAAATACAAAACGTAGGTACCTGTAATCCCAGCTACTCGAGAGGCTGAGGCAGGAGAATCACTTGAACCCGGGAGGCGGAGGTTGCAGTGATCTGAGATGGAGCCACTGCACACTAGCCTGGGTGACAAAGCAAGACTCTGTCCCCAAAATAAAATAAAATAAGACTCAAGAGGAAAACAACATGTAGGAGTTGGGGGGAAATGAGTCCGGGTCAGGCCCAGGGGCCCCAGCAGAAAGCAATCCTCATCACCATCATCATCATCATCATTTTGAGACAAGGTCTCACTCTGTCACCCAGGCTGGAATGCAGTGGTGTGATCTTGGCTCACCGTAACCTCCACCTCCCAGGCTCAAACGATCCTCCCATCTCAGCCTCTTGAGTAGCTGGGACTGCAGGCATGCGCCACCACACCTGGCTAATTTTTGTATTTTTTGTAGAGATGGGGTTTCGCCATGTTGCCCAAGCTGGTCTAAGTCATTATTTTTATTTGAAATTTAGAAGGAGTTCTCAAATGTCTCCTCCAAAGCTCAGAGAATGCAGTCAAAAGTGAGTGAATCTACTTCTGGGTATAGACCCAAAATCACTGGAAGTGGAGACTCAAAGACATATTTGCATACTCACGTTTACGGCAGCACTGTTCACAACAGGCAAAACGTGGAAGCAACCCAGGTGTTCATGGCAGATGAATGCCCAAACAGCATGTGGTCAACGGCTGGGTGCGGGGCCAGCACTTTGGGAGGTTGAGGTGGGCAGATCACCTAAGGTCAGGAGTTCGAGAACAGCCTGGCCAACATGGCAAAACCCTGTCTCTACTAAAAATATAAAAACCAGGCAGGTGTGGTGGTGGGTGCCTGTAGTCCCAGCTACTCGGGACACTGAGGTAGGAGAATCGCTTGAATCCGAGAGGCAGAGGTTGCAGTGAGCTAAGATCGTACCATTGTGCTCCAGCCTGGGTGACAGAGTGAGACTCCATCTCAAAAAAAAAAAAAAAAAAAAAAAAAGAATTTGGACTAGCCGGACAATTAAACATTATTTGGCCTTAAAAAGAAGGAAATGCTGGCACATACTACGACATGGATGGACCTCGAGGATTTGTGCTAAGTGAAATAAGCCAGCCACAAAAGGACAAACACTGTGTGATTCCTTATATGAGTCCCTAAAATAGGCAATTTCATAAAGACAGAAACAGACAGAGGTTGCCAGGGTGAGAGGAAGGGAATGGAAGCTACTGTGTAATTGGTATGAAGTTTCAGCCTTACAAGATGAAACAGTTCTGTAATGGATGGTGGTGGTGGCTGCAAAACAATGTGAATGTACTTAATACCACTCAACAGTACACTTGAAAATAGCTAAAACAGGCCGGGCACGGTGGCTCACGACTGTAATCCCAGCACTTCGGGAGACCGAAGCGGGTGGATGACCTGAGGTTGGGAGTTCGAGACCAGCCTGACCAATGTGGAGAAACCCTGTCTCTACTAAAAATACAAAATTAGCTGGGCGTGGTGGTACATGCCTGTAATCCCAGTTACTTGGGAGGCTGAGGCAGGAGAATTGCTTGAACCAGGAGGTGGAGGTTGTGGTGAGCTGAGATTGTGCCACTGCACTCCAGCCTGGGTGATAGTGCAAAACTTCACCTCAAAAAAAAAAAGAAAAGAAAATAGCTAAAATGGCAAATTTTATGTTATGTGTATTTTATCACAATATAGACTAAAGCAGCTCCTGCTGGCTTGAATTCCTGGAAAAGAACACAAAAAAAGCCTCCCTCTGGACTAAGGAGGGGGAGCGTTTGCTTTTGCTTCTACCAAGGCTCTGGATATTGTGGCACAGGCAGTGAAGAACCCCATTTGATCGGGCTGTTTTCCCTGGGTGATCTGGAGCTATCTGGTCCTGGAGCCTTTGAAAATCCTTGTACTGTCCAATAAGATTCTGACCTTGCCCTCCTAAAAGCCTTGGGGAGATGGTCTGCTCTGGTTTTGAGTGACCCCATTAATCAAACCTAAACCAGGTATAGCGTTCCAGCGTCCCCCAAGAACTTTCTTTAGGAAGACCGCAATCTGACAGAAAGAGCAAGGAGAATTACGCATTTTCTGGTCCAAAGACTTCCTTCTGCAACACTTCAGAGGATAAGAAACTTGCCACTTCGCTAGACTTGGAAGAAATATTCTACCTGTTGCCTACTAAGAAACACGCAGGCACGTCCAGGCGGTCAGGTGCAGCTCAGCTAGCTTCTAATATCTACGAGACCCACAGCCACAGATCGTAACGGAATTTGCTCCCTAAGTACTCATGAAAGCTGTGGACTTTGTCCCCAGAAAAATGGACGCAGGCACATATCCACGGCAATTCTGCAGACCTCCTCTTCACAAGTCTTGTTTTAGAGGGAATGTCTCTCCCCAGATGCCTCAACACTCACACTTGTTTCTCCTCCAAAAATAGGCAGAAAGGGCTAACAACAGTCTCAGGGAGAGGAGAGCCGAAACAGTACCTCACCAGAATGGGTCCTATTGTTCCTGGGGCCCGGGCAGCGTACAGGAGGGGGCAGCCCTCTCGTCTTCCCTTCGTAGGCTCTGAAAGAGAGAGTGCCTGCCTCTCAAAGGGTCCCAGGAATTGGCTCAAAGTGTCCTGGGAACTGGCGGTGGCTAATGCCTGTAATCCCAACACTTTGGGAGGCTGAGGCGGGTGGATCATTTCAGGTCAAGAGTTCAAGACCAGCCTGGCCAGCATGGTGAAACCCCACCTCTACTGAAAATACAAAAATTAGCCAGGTGTGGTGGCACATGCCTGTAATTCCAGCTACTCAGAGGGCTGAGGCAGGAGAATCACTTGAACTCAGGAGGCAGAGGTTTCAGTGAGCCAAGATTGAGCCACTGTGCTCTAGCCTGGGCGACAGAGTGAGACTCTGTCTCAAAAAAAGGGGGGTCCCTAGGAAATTTAGTGAAGTCCCCACAGTCTGGGACTGTCTCTGAGGGGGAACACAACTCAGGCACTTGGAAGTGTGTTGCCCTGAGCACCGCCCAAGGCCCCAGGACAGCTGGGTGTGGGTATGACTTTGTGCCTGAAGGTGACATCTGTTAGTCTAAAATCAAGTTTTGAAAAGTGTTTCTGCACAACCAGCAAAGGCTCAATTCCTAGCAGAGCGCCTCAGATGAGGCTACGGTCCTCACCCCATTTCTCCCTTGGTTCCTGGCCGTCCAGAGCGTTTCCAGCCCACCTCACCCTTCCACCCGTCCTTCAGCAGGAGCCGGGGAGCCTGCTGTGAAGCCACCTGCGGTGCACAGGTACATTTCAAAAGAAAAGTTCACAAACGCATCCTCCAGCACTCACCTGCCCGGAGCTGTCCCTCGCCTGGGTTCTGCCGGAGCCTCCGAGGTAGGAACTGCAAAGCCTCTCGCCGGGACTGGTCCCCACTCTGTCAACCGTGTGACTCTTTGCACAAATAGATACTTCTCCTTTTTTCTCTGTCTCTCTGTGTGTTTTTCCTCTTCTGTTCCCCTCCCTGATTTTCAATCTGATTATTTGTGTCAAAATCTGGCGGTGAAGAAACAGCCAATGAAGAGAGCGCGGGAGCAAAGCCGTATTTGCTTATCAAAACTTTCCAGGACGCAAGACTCCAAATTCTCATTTCTAACCCTTGACACTTGAAACGGCGTGCGTTCTCTCTTCAGAGAAATTCAGAATTTCGCTGGAAATTTTGAATTACTTCGGCACGAAAAGGAAGTAATGGTTAAATTTAAAAAATTAAAGGGAAAACAAAGCATTTACTTGTAAAACTGGACTTTGCATAGAGAAGTCATAGCTCTTTGATTCTTTTTTTCTTCTTTCTTTTTTCTTGCCTTTCTTCTTCCTTCCCTCCTTCCTCCCTCTTTCTTTTCCTCCTTTCTTCCCTCCTCTTTTCCCCGTTTATACCTCCCTCCTTCCCTCTCCCTCCTCCCATCTTCTCCCCCTCAAGTTCAGCATCATGAGGCTTGTGAGAGCCAGGGTATGCCTGCAAAGCCCCTAGTTCCTGAGCTGGTCACACTCATAGAGGCCCCTCTTGTCCTTGCAGAGGTCACATTTCAGAAGAAACATCAAATTTGCATTTCCCCCAGATATGACCTCTGAGCGGATAGAGGCACCCTGGAGGTATGGCAGTGAGTTCCAGTTCGGGTGTCAGGAGACCCCTCGGCTTGCTGAAGCTGCCATGCAGATTGAAGGCCAGGTGCCAAGGCCTGTGTGTGCCGCCCTCTGGTGGCAGCCAAAGTGATGGGGAGGCCATTGGGGGCCTCTGGGGTGTCCCATTGATGGCGGGAGCGGGGTAGCTGGATGGAGGGAAGCTTGGCTGGGCCGGCTGGGGCATTTCTTCCCGTTGGGCAGGGAGTCCTATCCCCTGGCTCCCCACCTTCTCCCTCCTCCTCCGGCCCCCCGCCTCCTCCCGCTTGCAGAATGACTGATTTATTTCAGGAGGTTTTGCATAAGATGAGAATGCCACAAAACAGTACTGTTAGGCTGCTTTGCCTGCTCGTCCAGCCCGGGTGCTGGGAAGATTGTTTCCCTCATTAAAAAAAAAAACAAGTCTGGTGACAGGAAGCTCCGATTTAAACTGCAAGTTCAAGGTTCAAGGTGAAGAGAAAGGGCTGTTTCAGGCAAGATCTTTCTGCTGGGCCAGCCCTGGAGCACCAGTCAGGAGGCCACAACCCTGTGGTCACCAGGCCTCGATAATGCTGGGGTGTCAGACCCAGCCCCAGGCCACAGACAGCAGACCACTGCTCTCAGCTGCTTGGCCACTCTTAGTGGAGAGAAACATCTTTTTAAAAAATTATTATTGGTCAGGTGTGATGGCTCACGCCTGTAATCCCAGCACTTTGGGAGGCCAAGGCAGGTAAGGATCACCTGAGGTTGGGAGTTTGAGACCAGCCTGACCAACATGGAGAAACACCATCTCTACTAAAAATACAAAATTAGCTAGATATGGTGGCACATGCCTGTAATCCAGCTACTCAGGAGGCTGAGGCAGGAGAATTGCTTGAACCTTGGAGGCAGAGGTTGCAGTGAGCCCAGATCATGCCATTGCACTCCAGCCTGGGCAACGAGAGCGAAACTCTGTCGTAAAAAATATTATTATTATTTCTTAGAGACAGGGGTTGGCTTTGTAGCCCAGTCTGGAGTGTAGTGTGGCAATCATAGCTCACTGCAGCCTCGACCTCCCTAGCTCAAGAGATCCTCTCGCTTCAGCCTCTTGAGTAGCTGGGATTCCAGGTGAACCACCACGCCTCATTACTTTTTTTATTTTTTTGTAGCAATGGGGTCTTGCTATGCTGACAGGCTGGTCTAAATCATTATCGTTTATTTGGAAATTAGAAGTTCTCAAATGTCTTCTCCAAAGTTCAGAGAATGCAATGTCAAAAGTGAGTGAATGTACTTCTGGGTATAGACTCAAAATCATTGGAAGCAGACTCAAAGAGATATTTGCACACTTACATAGCAGCACTATTCACAATAGGCTGGTCTTGAACTCCTGGCTTCAAGAGATCTTCCTGCCTCAGCTTCCCAAAGTGCTGGGATTACAGGCATGAGCCACTACACCCAGCCAGGGGACACATCTTAAGTATTCTGCGGGTGTTGCGCATTGCCAACAATCAGCTAGAGCTGTTTGTCATTATGCAGAAAACTTAAAAAATTGGCTGGGCGCAGTGGCTCACACCCATAATCCCAGAACTTTGGGAGGCCAAGGTGGGTGAATCACGAGGTTCAAGACCAGCCTGGCCAACATGGTGAAACTCCATCTCTACTAAAAAAATACAAAAATTATCCAGGTGTGGTGGCACACACCGGTAATCCTAGCTACTTGGGAGGCTGAGGCAGGAGAATCGCCTGAACAAAGGAGGCAGATGTTGCGGTGAGCTGAGATCACGCCACTGCACTCCAGCCTGGGAAACAAAGCAAGACTCCATCTCAAAAAAAAAAAAAAAAAAGAAAGAAAGAAAAGGAAACTTTAAAAATTAAAGTTAAATTCTCTCCAAGTCAACAAGTCCCCAGTTCCCTCATGTTCTTACTTCATTCTACACACATATCCACATTTTGCTACTGTAAACCAGCGTGTCATTTTCCACGAAATGTGATTGCATTTAAGTACTTCCTAAATTCTTTTGCAGCCTCTATTGACATCTTTAATGGTTTCATGTGTTTCATGGGTTATCTCACCAAACGCTTCCTCCACTTGTTTGGGGAGTTTTCTAATAGGAAGCTGCTATATCAGGAGTTTGCAGTTCAACTGCTGTTCTAAGGTGGTAATCCCTCTTTAAAGTCCCGACCTTCCCCGTTGAGTAACTGACTCAGGGACAGCCTTCTCAGACCAGACCAGGGATACAGCCTGCAGATGAAGCCACCAGGGTTTCCCTTGATGGGAGAGCAGCAGCCAGGCCACCAGTTCCCTGGCATAGCAACTGAAGCCAGGGGTCCCCAGCCAGCCTCACCCAGGCCCCTACAGCACTGGACCTCCCAGGCTCTGTGTCCCCTCCAAGGGCTGTCTAAAAAGCTACCAGCACTTCCCTTAGTGCGCAACCCTGGAGTCAACACCTTCATTTAGTCTCTCCCAAGAGTTAAATCACTTCCTCATCCCTGTGCCCGTTTATCGGTGTATTCATTCATCTAGCAGTTACCATTGGGTACCTTTCAGGTATCAGGTCTTTCCCTCCCTCCCTTATCAAATATGTGTGTATCGAATGCCTACAAAAAGGCACCAGATGCTGGGGTTTCAAACAAGAGCCAGACTTGACGTGTTCCCTCCTGGTCTAGAGGGCAGGAAAGAGCAAGCTGAAATTTACAATTTGGGGTGACAAGGGTTGTGATATAAACATGGTATACAAAAGAATCCTGGGAGAGGCTGGGCGCGGTGGCTCACGCCTGTAATCCCAGCACTCTGGGAGGCCGAGATGGGTGGATCACTAGGTCGAGAGTTCAAGACCAGCCTGGCTAATAGGTGAAAACCCATCTCTAAAAAAAAATAAAAATTTAAAAAATAATAAAAAAAAAGAATCCTGGAGCATTGGAAAATAGACCTGGACTTGGGGGGTTGGTGAAGGAAGTGATATCTAAGTTGATGTCTAGGCTCAGTTAGTTGGGAGAAGGAAGATAGGGAAAAATGTCTCAAAGAAGAATGTCATGGGCCGGGCATGGTGGCTCACGCCTGTAATCCCAGCACTTTGGGAGGCCGAGGTGGGCAGATCACGAGGTCAAGAGATGGAGACCATCCTGGCCAATGTGGTAAAACTCTGTCTCTACTAAAAATACAAAAATTAAGCTGGGTGTGGTGGCACACGCCTGTAGTCCCGGCTACTCAGGAGGCTGAGGCAGGAGAATTGCTTGAACCCAGGAGGTGGAGATTGCAGTGAGCCAAGATTGTGCCCCAGCACTCCAACCTGGTGCCTGACGACAGAGCAAGACTCTGTCTCAAAACACAAAACAAAACAAACAAACAAAACCCTTCAATAATTTCCCTTTACCTTTAGGACAAAAATCTCAGCTTCAGAGATCAGTACTCCATGTTTTTCAAAATGTCAGTTTCCTTTCAAATGACAGCACTTTTCCAGATGTGAGTTGCAGAAAGTTTCAAAAAGATGAGGTCTTACTCTGTTGCCCAGGCTGGTCTTGAACTCCTGGTCTCAAGCAATCCTCCCATGTTCCTGAGTAGCTTGGATTACAGGCACATGCTACCATGCCCAGCTCAGAAACCCAACTGAAACTCATTTAATAACAACAACCAAGCAATTAGTTCATGTCACAGAAAATGTTCAGCTTCTGACATGATTGGATCCAGATGCTCAAATGATATTGTCTGGAATCTCATTCATTCAGGTCATTGGCACTTCTTTTGCCCTCTGCCTGGATGGCCTAACTCTCTGATTTCCCCAGGGCTGTCCCCTTTCTGTCATTCAGGTCTTAGCGGAAATGTTACTTCAGCAGAAAGACCTCCTTGATCTTCAACTAAAGTAGGACCTGTACACCCTAGTCACTTTCTAGTCCTTCACCCTTCCCTTTCTTCTTAGCATTCACACTTATCTGAAAATATCTTGCTTGTCTTCCTACCTTTTTTCTTTTTTTGAGAAGGAGTTTTGCTCTTGTGGTCCAGGCTGGGGTGCAGTGGCCCAATCTCAGCTCACTGCAACCTCCGCCTCCCAGGTTCAAGCGATTCTCCTGCCTCAGCCTCCCGAGTAACTGGGATTACAGGCGCCCACCACCACACCTAGCTAACTTTTTGTATTTTTAGTAGAGGTGGGGTTTCACCATGTTGGCCAGGCTAGTCTCAAACTCCTGATCTCAGGTAATCCCCCGCTTCGGCCTCCCAAAGTGCTAGGATTACAGGCATGAGCCACCGCACCCGGCCATCTTCCTATCTTTTAATTTATTTATTTATTGCTCTGACTTCCCACAAGGAATGTCCATGCTACAAGAGCAGGAACTGTTTTTCCAGGTACACAGCTTGGGGCTTCGACT